GAGAGAGAGGAGAGAATACCAGAGAGAGAGGAGAGAATACCAGAGTGAGAGGAGAGAGAGGAGAGAATACCAGAGTGAGAGGAGAGAGAGGAGAGAATACCAGAGTGAGAGGAGAGAGAGGAGAGAATAACAGAGAGAGAGGAGAGAATACCAGAGAGAGAGGAGAGAAAGAGGAGAGTGAGAGAGGAGAGAATACCAGAGAGAGAGGAGAGAGAGAGAGGAGAGAATACCAGAGTGAGAGGAGAAAGAGGAGAGAATACCAGAGAGAGAGGAGAGAATACCAGAGTGAGAGGAGAGAGAGGAGAGAATACCAGAGAGAGAGGAGAGAGAGGAGAGAATACCAGAGTGAGAGGAGAGAATACCAGAGAGAGAGGAGAACACAAGCAGAGGAACAACTGTCAAACAGAATCACAGCCTCGCTGGAGGATTCAGGATTTACATTCAATGCCAACATTCAGTAAGAGGTCGTGTGTCTTTTATGTAGAGAGGCGGAAAGTAAAAGAGTGTCGAAGTCAGAGACTGGAAATTCACCTTTTTATTTGCCATAATTCAGATTTTGAGATGACACACCCCAGGATCAAATACTGTGTTTCGTGCTCTGGTCAGTGTTGAGATTTTGGACCTTTTTGCTTCCATAACTCGTCTTCTTTCAGACGAGAGGAAAGAAAACATTTACCTTACTACTTTGTCTGTTTGCGTCTGTAGATTTCTCCTAAATTCACCAAAAGTTACCATTACATAATGCCTCATTTGCATATTTAAACATAACATTTAACTATTCACCTCTAGTGTCTTCAAAATGTTTGTAATCTTACAAAACATATCTTTAAAATGAGTTTGTTCTCAGACTCTGATCCATAAATCTCCACTTCAGCAGCTCTTACATTCACCAAACGTTACTCTTTCATTCCTCTCTGTGTGCTGAAGGTTCACACAGCACTCACACTCATTTATACATTTATTAATATAAACATGGAGGATATTGATTTATTGGTGTCATGTTACTGTTTAGAATTCTGCGACACCAACGGTCTTTTCTGGTGATGCGATCGATCACGTCTGTTATCCAGCAGCATGTTTAAAGTGTGTGCTTGTGATCTCACATCGTTTACTCAGAAAGACTCAAATATTTGCACACAGATTAAATCAAAACATTTCACGGCTCCGCTCTTTGAAGTTTTCAATTAATCAAGTCATTGTTTAGGATATAAAAGCAATCTGGTGTTAATTAAAGAGAGGAAGGAGATGAGACGTGGTGGACGAGACGATATATATAAAAATAAGAGTATTGTTTGGAAGTAGCTGCAGAGACAGTTTGTCTCCAGAGACCGAGGACGACGCCTCGGTCCTGCATGATGATCAGGCTCCGTCAGGGCCCGACTCCTAAAATACTGAGACCCTAATCTCTGCCCAAGACTTCTGCTAAGCCCTGTTGGTGCTAATGAACCTCACAGCCGCGAAGCAAGAGGGAGGAGAAAAGAGGTCATTAAAAAAAAGAAAAGGAGGAAACATCTGTCTGGAATTAAAAGGAAGCCATCTGTCCTCACACGACGAGACTTCACCTGGATGGCAATGAGCTCCAAAACGCACTTAAAACCTGCGGCAGTAGAAATATTAAATGTGAATGATGTTGGAGAGCAACAAAGGGAGCTGGCAGATGAGGACGATTGTTGCTTTTAATGCTCCTACTTACAAAACACTGCCAACATTCAGCAAACAAGCTGCTGGCAATGCACTCGTGTCTTATCTCGTAGCCACAGTGTTTACCCCCCCCCCCCCGCCCCCGCTCTGAAATGACTCCCATTAGTGAGGCAAGGTGAACACAACCTTTTTTTCGGCCATGATGGCTGTGAGCGACGTCCGGGTCTCCCTCCCCGCGACCACAGCGTCCTGTCTGCTGCACGCTTAATAAGGCCATGTGATGGGAGTCATCATCGCCTCCACCTGAGGGGGTGAGCAGGTCTCACACCTGAACCAGAGTGAATACATCTAGTAATGAAGCTGCGGACCGGAATGGACTCCACTGCAGATGGTCCAGTGCTACGTGCCTCCTCTCAAGGACGAAGGAGGGAGCCGCTCTCTGACCGTCACACCGGCTCTGAGGACTTTCTGAATGAAACTTTTCTGTCTTTTCAGTGAGGAAATGTGTCTGTTGAGTCTCTAGAGTCATGATGGAGTGACACAGTGACACAGACTGTAAGAAGGGGACGTAGACATCGTGACGTCACTCAGTGGTTTGGGGACTGATGTTATGAAGCCTCGACTTCGGCGATTTGGTCGTCGCCATCTTGGATTACGGTTGTCGCCATGTTGGTTTTTTTTGCAACCAGTGAACAGGAAGTGACCATATTTGGACTGAGGAGGAGTAACGTAGAGACGCCGTATACGTCTCTGCCGTGAGACTGTTTCCCTGCGGAGCAACACTGAGTATAAGATATTAAGCGGTTAGTTTTACATCTAGCAACTGAAAAAATATTTTTAAAATCGTTTTTTTTTCTGGATGGAAGTATCTGAAGGAGCGAGCCGTTTCACTTCCTGTTGATGAATGTTTATTGATATTCAAATCATTTATGGTCCTCAACATCACACTTCAACAGAAATTGATTTGATTATTTGATTTGGAAAAGATATATATATATATATACATTGAAGTGTTTCAAACATCACAGGAAGCGACTGCAGCACCACGTCACACATTCAAAGTGTGACGTAGTAAACAGTGTTCATTGTAAAATATGAAGGAATTGTGCATTACTAGAAACATTTTTCACAAAAGTGAAATCTGCATTGAATAAATTTGGAAATTTTACCTCCAGACAACAAACTACAGATTTTAATTCAGCAGAGAATCATTATTGTATAATATAATAAGTATAAAACTCACTATTGCTGCTTCAGTGAAGATGAGATCACACATTCAGGCTTTTATAGTTAAAAAAATAAATCTAAAATGTCACCTCAGCAGATCAGATAGGTGCACAAAGCATGAAGTGCTCTGTATAATAAACCGAGCAGCAATTAAACGGTGTGAATTAATTAAGCCGTGCTAAGTTTGCATTTCCACTTACAGCTCTGGCCCCGAACACGCACACACACCCTCTCACATAAAGAAGGGCGAGAGGGGGAATTAAACTACAGCGGAGCGGCTCGGCCGCATTGATATTCAGAGGGGATCATAAAACACAGGGATATGGTGCGTCAATAGAAACAACTCCTGAGGTGCTTCAGGGAGGATCGACGTGAACGGAGGAGTAAAGAAATAAATAATAAATAAATAAAAGAGAGGCAATTACCTGGAGAACAGATACTGCCAACCGGGAGTCTGACTGAATACAAGGATGTGATTCATGCATTCAGCTCCCAGCAGCGAGTCTCTGGTTTGTATCGGCACCACCACAACAAGCAGCTCTGGAAACAGGCCGAACTGAGTTTAAAGTTCCTCACAGTAACTTCAGAGCATAAAAACATGTTTGTAACATGTTTGTAACATGTGTAGCAGAAACCCGAAATACGAGAACGAGCCTCAGAACGAGCCGGATGTGTAGCTCGAAGGTGAGAGTTGTGTTTTTGGTTGTGAGGAAACTAAATCTCCTTTCTAGTAATCGAGGGTTCGTGAGGTTTGGATGAACATAAAGCTTTTATTTTCTTTGTGAATCATAGAAATCAAACATCCATTAAAACGGTAAACATCCATTGACATGATGGATTAGTGTAAACAAAAAAGGACAAATTAAAAAATACAGCAACTTAAAAAAGAAAAGAGACGAGGAGAGAAAAGAGTATTTTGGGGACATGCTGATCGTCAGTTGAAATGTTTTACATGCAGATGTTCGTCTGAAAAAAAAGGCACAATTCACGATTCCAAACAAGAGTCCTCAGAAGCAGATTTCACATCATCAATATCTAATAATTCATTCACAGTCTTCATCTCCAGACTGAACCATAATGATCTTTAAGCTTTAAGTGTTTTTACTTCTCATATTAACGGTGATGAGGACAAAAAAAGACGTGAAACATCAGAAACCAACCGGCACAGAAGTGAGAAGGTAAACATAAAAATGAGGATTAATAATCATGTTTTATGGATCTCTGTGATTCCACTCAGACGACAGAAGCTCTGCAGCGCTTTGAAATAAATCATCTCAAAGCCGTCGAGCTACAACGATGCTACGCTTTGTGCTGACGGCATCAGTTCTTAAGGGACGGGAAAAGGTTTTCTAATATTTGACGTAAGGAAAAGAAGACTGCATTGTGGGATATGTAGTGTTCTTGGAGCTGGGCCCACACCAGAGACAAGAGATGGTTTTTATTTCTCTTTTGAGTCCGGGAACTTTTAAGAAGTTCAATGTTTAATCTCTGCTAGTTCGATGAATTGAAGTAAATGAGAAAATGTGTAAAATAATAACTTGTTGATGTTTTCAGAGGATTAATATACAAAAAACGTCCACAGTCAGCCATCAAAGGCTGATAAATGCTGTAATTTAACCATAAAGCCTTTGGAACAAAAGGTAAAGACATTTCTCACCACATTTTAAAACCAAAATCTGTTTTAACATCATATTTCTATTGTGTGAGCAACAACAGAGAACACAGTGTGGACAAAACACAGTTATGGACAAACTGGAGGTGAAAATGCTTCACACAGTTTCTTCCACTGACTCGATTATTTCCTCCATAGAGACACTCGACTGTCATTGTGCTTATTAAACTCCCACATTTAGCAATTTAAATCCATATTCACACACAATACAAGTGAGTTGAAATGGTAAATGGACTGTACATGTACAGCGCTTTTATAGTCTCTCCGACCACTTATTAGGTTAGTTTGAACAGAATGAGTTTTTTCATTTAGTGGGAATTTCCAATGGGAATAAACGAGGCATGAATTTCAGAGTAAGACGACAATTAAAATATCACAAAGAAAATACAGAGAGATATTAGATACGATTAGCGTTTCATTCAAATGTTGACTGGAAGCATTTTCAATTATCTGCCAGAAATGAATACTTTCTGTGGACGTTGTATGAATCAATACATCGTTCATCTCTAGCATCAAAAAAACTATTTACCCAAATTTCAAAAAAACAAAAAGTCGTCGAGTTGGTTTTATTCGTCCAGGTTTTGAGATATTCTTCTTCTGAATTTCAAAACATAGTTTAACAATTCAACAAGCCTCAAACTAATTTGACCATTGACTTCCATTGTAAATCTCATTCGCCTTTAATATTAAAGTAGAAAAAACTACGTTTTTGTACGAACCCTTTAAAAGCCTAGTTTGTGGGATTTGGCGCCATCTAGTGGACAGTTTTCAGATCGCAACCAACTGAAACTTCTCACTTGTGGGAAAACTACGGTGGTCGACGCAAAAAGACGAAAAGCCGCGACCGCCCCGATCTAGAGCCAGTATTTGGTTTGACCCTTCTGGGCTACTGTAGAAACATGGCGGCCGGCTCCGCATGTTGATATAAAAAAACGTATTCTAAGGTAATAAAAACAGGAATAATCTTATTTTCTGGTAATTATAAACAAAAAAAAGACACTTAATATAACAATTTGTTCTAATAGATTCCCTCTAAATGCTACACACTGGCCCTTTAAGAAGTATGCCCCTCACAGTATAATAATGACGTCAGACAGTTAGAAGGTGAAGGGCAATAACGAAGTCAATGAACAAAAGGCACAACTCAGAGAGGACGTTGCCAAGTGTCGGTGAACTCGACGTCCCTGAACTACATTTGGCTCGCTACCCTTTCACTTTTGGCCGCTTTGGGACTTCTTCCCCCAACAAGCTCCAGAAGTAGATCAGTATCATCCCGTCAGGCCGTGAGATGGACACAGTACGAGGATCATCCCCGATTTTCTTCCCTTTGTCTTCTTCTGTTATTCTTGATTTCATTATCAATACCGAGCAGTTTAGCAACAGAACACGACTCCGCACGTGAGGGCTCTTTTTTTCTTGCCACTATACTCCGCTCTGTTGATTTAATATATCTTTAGTGGAACATTCGGCCCTGAAGGGTCCAGATGTTCTGACGTCCGAGATCGGAGACGATAAATTCCAAAAAAATTTAAAAATCCACTTTGCACGAGTTTGTTTGATGACCACTGAACTCTTTCAAGATATACATTTCTAAAAAGTAACTTTTGTGCAAATCCTCAAGTGTTTGTTGAGAAAAACGTCCTTTTAATAAATGACCCTTTTTGATCTCCTCTCACTGTTGGCAGTCCTGCACTGTTCCTTCTTGTTTGTGTGGATGGAACAAAAACACTTGGTCCCTTTCTCACAAATTCGATAAATTACTCTTAATTACATGTAATATATGCAACAGAAGTCCCATAAAAAGGCACACTGTCCAACCAGCAGCGAGTAAGGCCTCGTGTACAGGAGGAAAGATACTGGCCAAACATATATATTTTTATTTCTCATTTCTTGACGTCATTCAGGATGATGTTGGCTGTGACGAACATGAGGCAGGAGACGGCCCACAATAAAACGAACCACACCCAGAAGGCGTGGCGGAAGGGAGACCGGTGCTTGTTGACGGCGTCCCGGCCCACCACGGGCTCCATGTTGCGTCGAGCGCAAAACACCAGGCAGGCCGGCACAATGTACTGGATCCCCGTGCCGGCGTAGGACCCAGTGATGCCCACCAGGGACTCCAAGTTGTGGGTGCAGAAGGCCACCACGATGGGCGGCACCAGGGTGATGAGGGGGAACACGACGCGGTCCACAACCCACGGGTAGGTGCCGCCGTCCCGGTGGAACAGGGTCTTCCAGTTGTTGCGAAGCGTGACGGCGATGATGGGGAAGTTGGTGCTGATGGTGAACACCGGGAAGAGGCCCAGGAAGTAGCGCAGGAAGCGGATATCCAACACGTTGCAGTTGTCGGTGAAGTTGAGCGTGTACATGTCGTGCAGCAGCGAGCTGTCGAAGCAGAAGATGGCGGTGAAGGACAGGAGGACGTAGAAGCCCAGGATCAGGACGTAGTCCACCACCACCAGCGTGCCCACACGCTTCTTGTCGGAGATGGGTGTCACCAGGGAGGGCAGGGAGTGCTGACACATGAAGGAGTAGACGCACACGCCGAACAGGTTGGGCACCCCGGAGAGGGAGGCGACCGGCGGGCGGCCCTCGCCGGCGCCTTTACTGATGCGGATGAGAGCCAAGACGATCATCATGGTGAACGCTGAGAGGAAAGAAAAACAAAAAAACAAGAGGAGACGGGATCAAGAACAAACTGTGACGGTAAAAGATGACAACAATCCGACTGTACCAATCAAACCAATCAAGTTTTAATGGGTATAAATACTTAAACCGCAGAATTGTTCCTGGTTTATTGTATTCTTTGTGCTGAACATCTAGCTACGTTTGGGATGAGGCGGTGGTTCAACAGAAATCCTCAAACAGAGAACGACCAGCTGTCCTGACGATTAAACGGAAGCTTAAACTCAGACTAGTCGACTAAGATAAAAAGAAAGGTAAGATAACATTCAGAAAAACAGTCAAAATGTTCCCCGTGTCCGCTCCGGTGGCCTATTGACCCAGAGCAGCGTCTGAGTTAATACTGTAAGCGTTTAGTTTACGTTAAGCTAAATGCTCTGAGTGACTTGGAGTTCCCTCTCTAGGGCTTTTATTGTGAAAGGTAATAACGGAAGGAGTGGATCTGGTCTGCGCTGCCTTTGTCAAGATTTAAAGGAGTAATAAAGTTTGCCTCCATGTTGTCGTACACTAGAGTGTAGGTTTGTAGAGTGTGTCCGTTCGGCACAACGTGATTGGTGGATGCTTTTCTTTTCGCTTTTTTGCCGTGTAATATTCATGTTCAAAAGAATTATTGATTGACGTCGCTCAAAATAAAAAACTAAAATGTTAAATGTTAAATAAAATTAATACAATTTTCCATACCATACAAAAATGAAATGGACTTGACGCATTCAACAAATAAATACACAATGAAGTACATTTTCTTCATCTAAAAGAGATTAATGTTGACGTGGTGGAATTGTTCCTGTTGTCGTGACCTTGGGCGGTATATACTGTAGGTAATAAACCCCCCCCCCCCCCCATCCTGTAACAATTTATATACAACATAAATAACGTCAAAGTAATTGTGATAACTTACAATTGGGGCGACTGCAGAGAACAAACATGTGACTCCGACGACACAAACAACCTTCAACCAATGCCAGCCGTGTCTCTCATTGTGGAGCGATCTCAGTCTCTAATCTTCTCCATCAATCAAGAAGAGTTACGACAAAACTGCAAACTGGCCGCACGTGTTGAACAGCCGATCGTGTTTTTCTCCGTTAAATCGGACTGTTGGCTTCAGACTCGATGGAATATTTAGCGTTCGTCATTATCCGTCTCACACTTACGTCCTCAACGTCTTTGTAGTATTTGTTCAAACTTGTTTATTCCACATTATGATGTAGCGTCAATGTGCTTTAGAAGGGGAAACTAACCCACCACATGTGGATTGGTTTCATTCCCTCATTCATTGTTTTAAGTAAATTTGATGTGAGAGAGAGAAATAGTAATTAAATTAAATGTGTGTATTGGAAATATAGAGGAAGATCTTAAGTATCAAACTCAACCTTTTATTATTAAAGAGTACAATAATAGTTAAATCCACTTCCTGTTTACACCGACACCTGCATGCCCAGTGTACATAAATGGTCATGTGATTCAGTCTCGTCTTAAAGCTGCATTCTCTCTAGTGTCCACCAGGGGGCGACTCCTC